ACGGGAGGGGGAGAGTCTCTCGGAGGGGGGAGGGGGCCCCGCCAGGGACGGGAGGGGAGGGGCTCTCGGAGGGGAGGGGGCCCCGCCAGGGGACGCCCCCCGGTCAGGTCTCGATGGGGCTGAGCGGCGGGACGGCCCCCTTGAAGCAGGCCGACTCGTAGTGCTTGTTGAGATAGGACTTGAGGGCGAAGGTCTTGCTGCAGCGTTTGCACTTGAAGTGCTTGAAGGCCGAGTGGGTCTGCATGTGGGCGCGCAGGTTGGAGCGGTCGGCGAAGGCCTTGCCGCAGTGCGCGCAGCCGAAGGGCTTCTCGCCCGTGTGCGAGCGCATGTGGCCCTGCAGCAGCCAGGGCCGGCTGAAGGCCTTGCCGCAGATGTCGCACTTGTGCTTGAGGTCGTGGGTGAGCAGGTGCATGGCCATGGCCGGCATGGAGACGTAGACCTTGCCGCAGGTCGGGCACTTCTTGGCCATCTTGCTGTCCAGGCTGCGGTGCGTCTGCTTGTGCCGGCTGAGGTTGGAGGAGGTGGCGTAGGTCTTGCCGCACTCGCTGCACCGGTGCCGCTGCAGGCTGCGCGCCCCGTTCACCACCTTGCGCCGCGACCGCCCGTCCGTGATGAAGAAGGCGTCCACCGCGTAGCCCTCGCTCACCGCCGCGTCCCCGTTGATGTAGCCGGCCGCGATCTCCGAGTGCGGGCTGTCGGGCTGGTCCGAGTCCGGCGCGCCATAGTCCCCGTGCGCCCCCGGGTAGATCGGGTCAGGCGAGGGCACCTTGATGGCGCTTTCGCTTTCGCCTTCATAGACCGACGGGGTGATGTAGTCACGGATGTACCCTGCGGGGAGGGGAGGGGGCGGAGAGGGAGAGACACGGAGAGGCTTGTTAAATCATGGATGGGCCCGGGGAGATTAGCTGGAGAGCTCTCTGCTTAATAGATGCAACAAGCTAGTCCCGCGAGTGGCCCCCCTTGGTTTGCCTGCGGCAGGGGGGCCGGCTCCGGGATGAAGTGCGTGGCGATGAACCAGGAGCCGGCTCTCCACTGTCATGCTAATGGCCCTGGCGTTTGATGAACCTTCCCCGCCAGCCACCCTCTTCATCATTCCCCGAGACTCCCGCTCGCTTCGCCGGCTGCTGGGCGCAGATAGGCAGAGGGAGGGAGGGAGGGAGGGAGGGAGCGAGGCTGGGGAGATGCGGCAGCCAAGCGCTGCTCCGGCTCCTCTAATTGGGGGCTGCAACTCCGAGCACTCGTTGAGATGCCTCTGAATGCAAAGCGAGGACATGGATGTGATGGGCCCCTCCCCCACCCCACAGAGGTGACACCTGCCTCTCCGGGGAACGCTCAAGGTCAGTTTGGGGGCCGAGCCTACAGAGGGGGGCCCGGGGCATGACCTTTCCTTCCCTCCCAAACCACTTCAGCCAATTCCCCCCCGATTATGCAACACGCTGCAGACATCCTGCAGTCAACAAAAGCCAGGAGCCAGCGAAGTGCGCCGCGCCAGGGCTCGGGGCAGCCTCTCGGAGCCGGGGTCCTTCCTAGAGGAACTTTTCACCCAGAGGTTTAGTCACCTCGGCCCCGATCCATCGCCTGGCGCCAGCCAGGGGGGCAGCCCGCCGCGCGGAGAAGCCCGGCGGTTGCTAACAGTTGTCCTTGAACTTGTCTAGTGGCAGACAAAAGGGCCTTCCAAACAAAAACATTTCTGCAGCGGTGAATTCCAACCCCCCGCCCCGGCCCCCGGCTGGGAACTCTCCGGCCCCCGGCTGGGAACTCTCCCCCACCCCTGCACCGCCTTGGTACCGTCTTTTTTTCAAGGTCTAATTTTAGCGGCGCGGTAGGAACAGAGCGATTGGGTTGCATTAAAATGTGCAGAGTCAACAGCCTCCGAGAGGCCCGACCTGCTCAATATGGCTCTTGGCGAGGTGCATTCCAGGGAAGGAGGCAGGCGGCACATAGGAATGTGTCCCCCGGTGCAGCTCAAACGGCCAGGCATCCCCAGCCCGGGCCCCAGCGCCACCAGCCAGCCACACACGCTCCCTAGCCAGCCCCAGCCCCAGCCCCGAACATCTACACCAGCACCCGCGAGCTAGCGCGGCTCTGTCTTTACCCTTGTCATGGAGCCGCGAGCTGAAGTCTGCCCGAGATCTGCCGTACGAGTTCTCTAGATCCGCCGAAGAGAAATCATCGAGTTTGACCTTTTTGACCAGGAAAGATCTTGGCATGGTTTCTACCCGCGGCCGAAACGGGAGACACGCGGCAGCTGGCCGATGGTTGCTGGGTCAGCGATTAGAGGGGGGAAGAAATGGACCCCCCCAAAAAAAGCTTTAAAAAAAGGACAGTTAGAAAAGGGCTCCTGGGCGCTATGGCTTTGTGGCTTGCTGTAGGCTGGGCTCCGACGTGCAGTCCCCAGCCCCGGACCCCGCCTGGTGCAATCAGTCCTTGTTCCAGCGGCTTTTGTGCGGCAGGGGAGGCGGTTGGCTGCCCAGGCCCTTCCCGTCGCCCTCCAGCGCGGTTCCAAAGCCCACCCTGAGGTCCAGGGTCACCAGCCCAGAGCTGGGTCCTCAGACATCGCCCGCGAGTTCAGCACTGGACAGCTCCCGGCGCTCGGGAGCGGCTCCCAGCTTGGGTTCCCGGCGTCCCCTCCTGCGCCGTGTGCCGCAATTCTTATTGTTCCGCTCGGGGCTGGCGGCTTCTTGTCAGCGCTGGACAGCTCCCAGGCTCTGCCGCAGCCGCTGTGGAAGGTCCTGAATTTCTGAAGACTCTCTGATCAGCTGTTTGGATTTATAATGCAGCGATCAGGTGGTGGACGGAAATGGAAGCGCTTAATTTAATCCATCAAAAAAAAAAAAATCTCCCGGGAACAGCAGTGAGACTAGATGATTTAGTGACGCTGTTGTGAGTCGCCTCCTGCCCGGGCTTTCTGCGAGTTAGATCCAAAAGGGAGAGGAGGAGAAGGGAGACAGGGTGCCCTGGCGAGGCCCAGGGGCTCAGGCCTGTCTTTGACCCCCCGGCACTCGGGCAGCTCCGGGATCCTGGGAGCAGAGCGCCGCCCTGGCGCGGCCGGACCTAAGGAGAGACTATTTCTTTGATTGATGGGTGGGGGAATACGGAGGACCTGTGGGCTCTGTGATGCAATCAAAAAAGCGATATGTTCACTTTTTAATGAGGAAAGTACCAAGCTGGCTCGTCCTTTTGCTCCATCTGGTTTGGGGAGGCAGTGGGGTGCAGTGGTTGGAGCAAGGGCTGGGGCAGGACTCCTGGGTTCTTTTCCAGCTCTGGGAGGGTAGTGGGGTCTAGTGGTTAGAGCTGGGGGGCTGGGAGCCAGGACTCCTGGGTTCTTTCCCAGCTCTGGGAGGGGAGTGGGGTCTAGTGGTTAGAGCTGGGGGGCTGGGAGCCAGGACTCCTGGGTTCTTTCCCAGCTCTGGGGGAGGGGAGTGGGGCCTAGTGGTTAGAGCAGAGGCAGGGCGTCAGGACTCCTGGCTTCTACCCCCAGCTGTGCGAGAAAGTATCACCTAGTGGTTAGAACAAGGGGGATGTGAACCAAGACTCCTGGCTTCTAGTCCTGGCCCAGCTATGTGAGAGTGGGCCCGATGCTTCATTTCTCTGGGCCTCCACTTCTCTAAAGGAGTGGATAAGCGACACCCCCACATCCACGCTGTGAGCCCCCATTAATTCACGCTTGCAACGTCCTTTCAGATCTTCCATGGAAGCTGCCCAATCAGTGCAAAGGATGGGCAGCATGATGAGTTTATTCCAGGTTTCATTCCTGCCATTTCCTTCCAGGTCCATTACTAGTGGGTTAAAGCGTGTGTGTGTGGGGGGGGGGGCTTCCTGGGTTTTGAATAGCCCAGTCCTTACTCAGCCAAGCCTCCCGTTGACTCGCAGCCTGAATGAAGGCCTCAGGAGGTGACCCCTTGTTGGGAGTTACTCTCTGAACCCCGCCAGGGTGCTGGCAACGCGGAGTCCCCGCACAAAGGACGTTGCAAGCTCAAGGTTTGATCGATGGAAATAAAGCAGAAGAAGACATCAGCCCCTGGGATTTGAAGTCCTTCCTCAAATACCTCCCCACCCCCACCCCAGGGGTCCAGATCCTGAGCACCTGCCGCTCCCATTGGGGCCGAAACATCTGCCAGGGACGGGTCCCTTCCAGGGGCATTGCCTGGCTCCGGGTGGACAGTGAATCCCCTCTGGAATCTCCCCTCCCGCCCCCTGCCAGCCAGCAGCCGCCTCCCGCAGGATATTCACTCAAAGCTCCAGGCTGCATTTGTTTTTCCCGTGGCCCCGGTGACTGTCGGTTTGATCCCTGCTGCGCTCCTTCCCGGAGTTCTAATTAGCAGCGGCGCTGTGCACCTCAGGGCCTCTGGAGCCGGGCATTTGTTCGGATTTTCCACCCTCCCTCTTCACCCCCAGCCGATGGATGGGACTGCAACCAAGCTAACAATCCGCAGCCGCCTGAAGTTTACAAGTCACCCTCTTACATCACGTCCTCCGGGCCAATGGCGTTCGGCTCATGCTAATGAGGCGCGCAGGGGAGCAGAAGCCCCCCCCCCCTTCCCCAACGATTCCTTTAGGAGACATATGTCCCTAATTAACACACACCCGGGCACGGGCCTGCTCCTATTGTCTTCCACCGGGGCGCGTTTGTTCACTTCTGCAGCGAGAAACCGAGGCGGGCTCTTCAGTGACCCCCCAGGCTCTTTGCAACCCCCTTGGATTTCAGCCTGGGGGAGCGGTGTCCCCCCCCCGGGGGCTGGGGGTCCTGCCGGTCTGTCTCGCTCCATTCACACGCACAGGGTGCAGGGGGGCACATACAGATGTGTGCATCTGCCAGCCTGCCCCTAGGTTTGCATGTGTGGGTCTATGTCACACACACACACACACACACACACACACACACACACACACACACACACACACACAC